CCGAATCATTTTGAACACGAGCTGCTGTTACACTTGCATTCAGGGTTTCAAAACTACAAGCTGTATATTTTCCGTGTACGGAAAATTATGCATTTCTCTACGGTGTTAAGGGGAGACCATATGAGGTTCATAAAATTAAGCAGTGGATTTGAGCAATATTGTTAACTTTACAAGCCACATTCGTAAATGCAGATACATGACGTTTCATGAACGGCCATTTAACGGTATTAAAAAATCTCACAATTAAAAACTTTTTAAAAACCGAATTATACTCTTCTTTTGAGTATGAACTTGGAAGAAGACGTGATTTTCTACCGAATAAGTAAAAGAATGAATATTTTTGTGCATGGTTTCCATGAAATATAATTGAATTTTCAAGAGCATCGAAAATCCATGAGAAATTTGCATACTACTTAAGTAGTCATTTTTTGCAGAGTATAGATCTTGCATGTAGCCGAAAATAAGTTCTTTCGAAAGCCGACACCCTGAGGTAACTGGATCATTATAGATTTATGCTGCATCATGATTAGTTTTAGAACGCTACTTAAGTTATCTTTTCGTAACGAGGACTCATTTCGAAATTTTGGTTCACATTTCATGAGTTAGCACGTCTATTGTACTGCAAATAAATTGAAAAGGCCTTCCATCGGATAAGAGGAGGACATGGAATGTTGCAATTCCAATTCGGCTTAAAAATAAGACAGGATGTACTCGGCAGGCCGGAAACACAGAAATTCAGGGCGAATGTGGATATTTAAGAAGGAGGAAAAACTACTACGAGGGTTTATGGAAAAATCTGAAGTAGTCAGAGTCAACTTACGTGTAAAAACATGGCCATTTCCATTGTCAGTAATGTGATCTTGTGATTGCTCCAGGGTTTTCTTTAGAGCCTTGTTGATATTCTGTGGAAAGCGCTTAACCGGAACACAAAGCAGGATGCCTTGTTTACTTTTTTGGCTAAGGTGGACAGATTTCCGGCTATAATGAGTTCCAGTCTATTTGCTAGAACAGAACGACGCCATTCTGGATGCAACGAAAATGATCATCGACAGAACGAAGCTAACCTTTGCGACTACAATTAACAAATCTCGTTTTTTTCTCTTGATTTGGACCGAACATAATAGTCTCTGATATTCTTAAAAACCACTGTTATGGAAGACACCCTTGGAGGTGATGACCAAAACCTCACCTTCTTGCCCTCCTACAGTTGACCGCTGATGGAACTTTGGACACGCTTACTTAATATCAAAATCATGCGTTACTGATGTCTTTCAAACCTGTGGTACTTTTCATCGACTCTGACAATTCCAAACTTCTTTTTGTAGAATGGAAACTTCCCTGCGGCAAAATGTAAGTTCCGGAAACAAAAAATTCACTAACATTTCCAGGGACGAGTTTGTCGGTGAGGTGTGCATTCCCTGAAAAACGACTTTCAAATTGAAGTCTTCGTTTGATTCCAATTCGGTGGCGCTAAATATGCGAGCAGATGTTCAGGAGATCGATGGTCCATTAAGAAATGGTCAGAGCGTCTAGCAAGTACCCAATAAAGCAATCGTCATAGATAATTGTCCAGAGTCTAAGCCCTTCACCTTCCGCGATCAGGACAGCCGTGCTAGTTAAAGCGCTCTGAAGAATTTGCGACTTAATACTAGATACTCCGGACAGCAACCCACGGAAAAACCTTTCGGTGAACAGTCAAAACATATTCCGTCTACAGTGACCTGTGGCATGTTGTATGAAAGGAGAGGACGCAGTGGGCGCTCGTTTGCGTGTGGACGCCTGCGTCTGCGTGTGTGGGCGTCAGCACCCTAAGTATGCTATGCAGCAAAGTGACGTTTTCCTAAAAAAATGTCCCATCAGTGCCACCAACTGGGCCTTCATAAATGAAGAGGAGGGGTCTGAAGGACTGAAACTCTATTGCCCTGACGTTTCGGGAGTAAACTTCGCTTCGCAGAATTTACCGGGGGTCATGAATACATTGCTTGACATTTATTAAACGTTGCCCGCCGCGCAATCAGGCGGCATAGACAGATCAAGCCTCGGGGTCGATTAAACATTCGAACTGAGTAGAGGGGACACAAGTCTCTGAATATGAACGGCTGATACTGCACTTCAGAACGCCATCCAGCTAGTATACGCCTTCTTTTTTGAGTTTACTCTCCATTTTAGAGCTTTCTCAGAGTTTTCCGTGAGGAGCAAAAGTTAAGGAAATAAATACGGTGATCGGTTTGAATGATATCAAGGAGGGTCTGCAGACAAGGATGGTTGAGGCAGAATGTCATGGTCACGTGTCATCGTGACGAAGAATGACACTCCTCCATTTGAACAAATCCGACTCTTCCTTGAGCAGCTCTACTAGGATTCATGGAAGTACACTGCATTTTGACGGCTTCGGACCACGCAAAATCCATTATCGCATCCTATGACATAAGTCTCGTTTTTGAAGTTCTTGTATAGCAATATGGTCATGTCGTTGCATAAAATGTTTTCATTGTAGAGCGGTATCGATTTCCACGGACCTCTTACAAACGCTCTAGGCGTTTAAGAAAGGTCGTGGATTGGATTTTAGAGGCTATATGTGGGTAAATTCTGTAGAATACATTTATCTTTATTTTAAATCTTCGCATTGCATCCGTTAGGGTATTTACTGACTTGAGTATTCGGTCAAATAACTGCATCTGCCTGGGAGGATTGCACCCTGCGACGAACAGAATGACCATTTTCGGATACCTAGCAAACGGGACAGCCATGCTGGATGCCCTTCTATCTTCAAGAGGTGCAGTAGAGTCGCCTGTAGGGGGCAACAAACGAAAAAATTGACATGCTCTGATCATTTCTTGCGGCACTTCAATTTGATTTAACCCAGTTGTGAAAAACTGGCAGCCTTGATGTGGTGGGAATCCGCGACAGTATGTGCAAGACCTGTGCGCATCCAGTGCTCTAACAACATGTGCCCAGAGGCCCCGACCAGGAGCGGTGAGCTTACTCACATTTGGGTCAAGGTACCCGCCCAATCTACGGAAACCTATGGAATCCACCAGCCCTGATACAGTAGTTTGACTGTCTAAGTAGGATTTCCTAAGCAACCAACCTAGAATCCACGGGCAGACTACCAGATTCAATTACTTATAGCTGTTTTTGGCAACTTTGCATGATTATTCCGACCTGATTGGTTGTCATCATGAAGTTTTTGGTCCCCAGGAATTGGTTTGACTTCGAGGCAGTGTTTCGCGCAGCAAAATGGCTTGAATTGCATTCAGCATCTGGTTCATAGCTAAACGCGTGGTTGACGTTTCAGGCCCTTCCAGAGGCATTATCTCAACAGTTACGCTCACGCTGGAACAAATTACCAAAATCCTTTCTTTCCTGTATTCACTTCTAAAGCCATAAAGCTAACTACGAATCTAAAATCAAGACTGGGTGAATAATTTTTGCGTTTTACCTATCTTGTGTGATAATCTATTATAAATGGCATCTTCTTCTCCAACGCCCGTCAGTCGCTTCCAAAGGCCTTCTCAGCTACAGTCCTTCGTCACAGACTTTAAAGTTATTAATCTCTGAGTAAATAGTTGGCGACAATATGGATTAAGCTATCCAACTAGCTGACTGCATCCCGATCGTCGACGTACAAGACCATTTTTTCATTCAAGCATGTCAGTGAAAAGAAGTACTAGTTTAAAATCAAGGTGGAAGATATTTTCATGTGAAGTCAGGGGCAACGCTGGAAACCGTTTACGGTTAGTAATAGGACCGGGCAGAGGAGATGAGGTAAGTTCCATTTGCGAGAACCGGAGGTCTGTCTCACAGGAAAATCTAAAAGCAAAACACAGAATTTGACTGCTTTCATCAGCAGAACTGGGGGGGAGGGGCTGGGAGTCTGATCGGAAAAGCCTCCTCCGCTGTTATTTAAACCCAATTTTATCAACATGGTCCTTTTTCTAAGGTGAACTTTACATAGTAGTTTTTTTATAAAATTCTAGAAACTTGGCCAGTGTGAAAAACTGAAGCAAATGCTTCTCCAACAGTCGTTTTCGCTTAACCGATGAGAGTTCACAAAAGATACTTCGAAAGGAACCACTTATGATCGATCGATTAAGCAACTGCGTGATTATGAAATCAGAGGGCCCCTTCTATGGATTTGACCAGTAGATTGGAACGAAGCCAAGCTGGCTTCCCTAAATACATGCTGTACGCTCAGCTGGTCTAGGTTGCATGCGGGTTACTGCAAGAACATTTAAAAGACGTTGGGTGCTGAAAGTGTCCATGGTAGAACTGCGTGGATTTACCGAATATTTTATAACTTCTGCGACGCATACATATGTTCAGTTGATTGTTACGCCATCAATACAGCTTCTTTTTATAATGCGCAACGGCTCCTACAAGGATATTGCATGCATTTTTGCGCCCTCAGGTTCATGCCCACGAAAGGCTTTTAAAGATAAAAGAACGCTGCTAGGCAATTTATTCAGGTTTATAAGTGTGCGGGGCTTACGGTGGGGAGAAATGCGTCTGTCGGCGTGGAAGGCGTCATGAGTCATAAAGTAGTGAACAACAGGTATGCTCTCTTTTTCACGCCCTCTGCCGGGGGAACCGAGTGTTTGGATTCGAAGAATGTAGAATGTCTTTGGCCGTAACCTCGGGAGAATGATCCAGGTTTGATTCTAAGAGGTTACGTGTGTAAAGGTCAAGTTATCTTAAAAACAAACATTGGTACACAGGTGTGCAATAATTCCTGCAGCGGAAATTGCACACAGCGTCACGACTATATACATGCTGAAAACGTCACGTCAGTCGTTTATCATAAAAACCTCTAGTAACTGAAATTCTGAAATGTGTCTCCGGCTAAAAAAAAGATTACTTAAGTAGGATCGTATGACTAAATGTCGTGCAGAATAGTCACAAGATAATTCAGTCACGTCAGTATGCCGGATTTTGAACGGGTCTCTTTCCGGCAGCTTGCAAAAACTACACCCTGTAAAGGTGACTACTTAAATAGTGCGAATTTCCCTCATTGATTTTCAATGTCCCCAATATATTGTATTGAGTACATGCACAAAAATATTCGTCCATCTGCTCATTTGATAGCGAAATAAATCTTCTTCAAATTCTATACATGAAGGAAGAATATTTTTCTCTTTTAAAAAGTTTCTAGTCATGGAATTTTTAAGCACATGAAATGCCTGCCCAGTAGACATCGTATCCGTTCATTCAGTAATGCTGCTTGTAAAGTACACAACATGGTTCACATCCATCGCAAAATTCCATGAACCCAATATGATATCTTCTCAGGAGTATATATAAGTGTGTGATTTTCCTTACGGAGAAGATATACAGGTTGTAGTTTGAAAACCCCAAATGCAGGTGTAACGGCAGGTCAGGTATAAAATTATTTAGAAATTAAGGAAGTTTTTTTAAACATAAGATACAATCTCGTCAAAAAAAATTGAAGAGGGCATAATATGACACCCAACAAGCACAAAAAAGAATATTTTGCGCATGTTTTATATAAAACACATCTGAATATATTGAGGGCATTGATAAGCAATGGAAGGTTCCGACTGTTAAGTGGTCACTTTTCGCCTAGTTTGGTTATTGCCAGCGGCCGGAAACAATTTAGTTCAAAAGCCGGTCCTCTGACGGGATTGAACTACCTTGTTATTACGCTGCGCGACAGCTAGTCTTGTGACACCAATTAATTAATCTTTCCTAATCGATGACGCATTCCGGAATTTAGTTTAGCCTTTATTGAGGTAGCACATCTACCGTAGATGCTCAATAGAGTTGTTACCAACACATCATGTTTTCCAGATGACAATTAAAGTCCTTGTAACTACAAAGGTCAGTCTAAACGAATGCTTGGATCGCGCATTCATACAACATAAGCTGGTTGTGCGAGGGAACGACGACATACCGCGAAGGGTTGCTCACACCCTCGGGAGGGGTCACGAGTTCAACTTCGCGGCCGCAAAGGTAATTGGCCATACTGAATAACGTACCATAATGACAGCACAGGTACTGGCTAAAATTTCAGGCAAGTATTTCGCAGATGTTCTGCGCTGTTTTCAGGACTCTAGTCTCGTTCATTTACATTTCTTGATTACTGAACATGTTGTTAAATTCGAATCGAGGTCTGATATCTGGCGCACATACAAACACTAAAACCCTCTAACCGAAAACAATCGACTGAATTCTTTTTCTAGGGTGAAAAGCCCATAAAATATTCTGTGTTACTAATTGCCTTGCTAGTTCCGGCATCATCTTTTAGTTTTAAAACACTGCGTATTACTGGGTGTGTATGCCGATATGGAGCTTCGTCTGTGAACAACTTGGTTGCTGAAAGCCAAATTTTCTGTCCCCCGTGGGGCGGTACATTTTATTTATTGAGAAACTCTCCCTAAAATCTGCCCGGAGGGAGAATTCGAAGAGTCTTTCTTGACATTTCTGCCCCTAAAAAGCGACCACTATTGTGTACACTAATTAGCATACTCGTGTTAACATCACGACAAACTTGGCAGGTTATTAGTGATCTTGAATTGCGCACAGTTAATAGAGACAGTCGAATCGACTGCATTCCTCGGCAGAAACCTCGAAGAGTCTAGAAGGGCATTCGTGTTTGCAAAAGTCTCTCGCCTAACCGAAGTGCAGAAAACTGGCTTAAATCAGTCTAGAAAGTTTCAGATTTTTTAATGAAGACAGACTTTTTTAAACAAACATGTGATTCAGGAGTGCCTATATGTGGTCAATGTGCGTAAGTTCGGAAATGACTATAAAGCATAAAAACCTTTGTGTAAGAATCTTCCAAATAATCTCGACATCTTCTCCAGACGCACCATGACCCACCGCAAGAAATGTGTCGCGACAGTTTGTTTTACTCAAGAGCACAGATTTGGTCAGAATTCTAAAAACCAATTCAAGGCGAAATATCCAATATTCATCCGATACTTTGCTTGTTTCAAATGTAAAATGCCCACTTGCCAACTTTTCCTTAAGAGACCTAGAAGGTTTCAGTTGCTTTTGGTGCGTCTTTTTTGTGACTTTCTGCCCTTTTTCTGAGCGACCATTATTACTAACTTAGAAAGTAATAAATCTTAGATGTTACTGTCTTTTTTTCTATCTAATTTGCTTCAATGCATGTTGATCTTACATTGAATACCTGTAACAGTCACTTTACTCTAATATGCGCAAATGTGAAATTACTTGCAGAAATCATGGACTTATTATTGCCGCAGATTGAAACCGACTCAGTATAGTGGGACAAAACGTACTAACCGGTGGAACAGAGTTATAACAAATTAACTCCAAATTTTCACTTTTATTCAAGACACTTTCCACAAGGCAAAACGGTACATACCGTAAAATGGCTTTCAGAAAATTCCGTAATGATAAAGTGGGGTCGTGCAGACTTTATATAATTCCCCAGGCTAATGAATCAATTTTCCCTGACTGCCCTTAGAGGACCTAACATCTTCTGCTTAAAGAAGCGCGTTAACTTTGAGCCGAACAGGTTTCCGGACCTGAGGTGTTTCTCCCAGCACAGCAGCGGAAATAGGATCTGGTTATGAACAATGGCCAATGATTTAACAACTTTTAAGAAGAACAGGGGTGGCTGGAATGACAACAGGAGGCTTTTTAGTTAGCTTTTGTTCATAGTTCTAGACTGCAAGACAAACTCGGGAGGAATAATTTACCCCATCTGACATTCAATACATATTAGTGACCGTCGCAGCTGACAGTGCGTAAACGCGCTTTGGGGGGATATGCATCAATCTGTCATGATCACAGGGGGAAAACTGGCATTTTCGTAATGCCTTGGTGTCCGGAGTCTACAGTTCAAGCAGTCGGTCTCATGACGACTATCAATAGATAATAGACGATAGACACCGGAGGACTGAAATGACTAGGTTTGGCTAATGTGCAGTCATCTACTACCAGCTCGTGGATGAGAGCCTTCGTCGACAATCAACTGGGCCGGGACGAGACTCCGGGCTTGCAGCTTAAAGTTGGATTGGACAGGGGATTGCAAATAAACCGAAATGGACTATTCCAGCGTCCATGTCGGCAATCCCTTTCGAACTTATGAACTCCGTCATCTAGGGTTTTGATTTCCCCTAAAGTAACTGGGGCCACTTCAAACCCCGTGCTTTGAGTGAATTAAAACTGACGGAGTATGTTACCTCGATAACTCTGTATTTTTAAAGAAACCTGGGAGTTTTTTACTGTTAAGTCAGTGCTGCGTATTTCAGTATGCGTCACAACCAAATATCACACTCCTCCACAGATACTGACGTTTTGATTTTGGTTTGTCAGCTGCAGAGTGAACTCGCCAAAGCAAATACCGCATCAATGTTTTAAGATTCACAATTTAAGAGTTGGTATTATTAGTAGTCTTTCTCAGAAATTCCTCGCAATTGTAACCAAAAGTTATCAGTCGAACAGTCACTTTGATTGCTCTGGTCGTATTCTTAACATGGCCAGTGGAGTACCGATCTGCCAAAACAAAATATGCTGCCCCTATGACCCACCTTTTCAACAACACGCACATCAGATCTGGAGGTGTCCAGTATGGGACTGAAGCCGGCCTTGTCGTTGTACGTGGTGGCGTCTACGGGCTCCTCCTTTCGCGGAGCCCACATTACGCGGTAGCGCGTGAAGGCATCGTCTTGGACGACGCTGAGTGGAAGCGCCGGTGGTAACCAGGTGACTCGATAGTCCAGATGCCTGCGATCGCTTAGTTCGACTTGAACGTTTTTCGGTGGAAGCAGAGTCATTGGTTCTGGGGGGGGGAGGCGGGAGGAATAAGTCTGCCAGTCAGAATGCGTCATAAACACTTCTTAATGCGGTACGGAGGTCAGGTAGTTCATGTTGTTTTCTAATGACAGCGGCGCAACCGGCGTTCAGACTAATATCCATATCGCAAATCCAGGTCTAAGATGAACCGGACTCAAGCCCTGGCTCTTTGGTCTAGCACTGAGTCATGGGCGCACATAGTGTCGACTGCTGTTGGAAATATTCGCATTTACATGGAAGTCACATAAACCAGAAACAGCCACACCAGTCTCGCTTGTCGTCGTTGATGATACTTCTGCGTTAACGACTGGTTATCGTCATGCCACCACCACCGAGGGCATCAGAGTGGTACTCAGGGCGAAAAGGAGAATCATGTTCCGTACTGCAAAAAGATTGGCGAAACATCACTACCACATAAGACTAAGTACAACTTTGCGTAGACTTCTTCCTGACGTACGGCAATTCATTGAAGGAATCATTCCTCTTCACACAAAGGATTATTTAAACTTCTTCAAATCACCAATGAACTCCCTGTCAAAGTACGGCATGTGCTTAAAATCATGAATCATCGGCTAAAATTTTTCCATATGCATTCGAAGGGAAGATATTATCTAGGCAGTGCTAACAAACGGATTGGCCGAGAATAAATCACCAAGCCGCTTCCTACAGGGTAAGGTACAGGCCTCTTAATGGGCATGTTGCAGCCAACTGTTTGAATCACAATAGCTAAAAAGTTACTTCTTATGTAGTGTGCTTACGTATTTCTTTTGAATGCCCCTATAAATGTAATCATTGCATTTGCAAGAATGGATGTACGAAACCTAGGTCCCTACATTTCTTTCAGGGGCAATAACGTCCTCTTTTATGTTTGCCCTTGAAAGCAGGGCGTACTTTGCTGCCCAAAATGTTACTAATGCTCGCCTCTTCTCAAAATTAAACCTTTATCTTCATTTTTTCCTCAGGTCTATAAAGTTTATGCTGCATATTTCCTCAAAAGCTACCTTACGTGCTCCCATAGTGACTCCTTTTGATACTTATGGTATATTGCAGTGAATATGTACACAATGACACAATTCTCAAGTAACATCAATAAGCCCGCGAATGGTAACGTGCCACATAATCCTGAGAGGGTCTTAAGGCTGTTCCTAATTGCAAACTTTATAGGGACCAAAGTACTGCTCTTTTTTTTAATGGCGCCTGGAGAAGGCACAGGTTTTTATGAAAATGAGGATCAACTCATTTTCAGCCGTTTAGTGAGTAGCAACTAAGGTTGCATATTCATCTGGACTCACTGGGCTAAATAGGCCTAGTTAGATTTGTAGTCCTACTTTCATCAGTACTTTACCTAAATAGGTAATTCAAAATAAAAGCTGTCACCATGTATAAAGTCACTTCGCATTACGTCGCTCGTGAATAAGGTTTAAAAGGTAATCCAAGTAAAATGGTTCATTTAAAATCTTGCTAAAGATCGTTTGTCAATCTGCACTGCGCAAAACGTTAAAAACACCAGGCAAATGCGATAGTTGGCGCTCAGACAGAATATCTGCTATTTTTGGACTTAACACCACCTTAAGAGAGAACTTCCTCTTAAATCCAGTTTCATTTTGCGCCAGATTTGTACCAATAATTCATACTACTCTGCGCTCTCGTTGTGTAAGAATTATTTGGCAAGCAGCAGAGACTCCTTCTGACTGGTCACTCAACATTTGTTCTAACTGACTTCTGTAACTTCGCCTCCCCAATCCAAGTACTGGGCTGCTCAGTCACTTGAGAGAGCGGCATGGTTTTTGTCCTCTAAGACCGTAGTTTTACTCGACTCATCTTGCTACTCAAGTGTAACTCTCCAGTCAACCACTATGTTTCTGTTTAAACTTCGGCACCAATGTAGCCTGCGGTTTTTCAAGGCGAAGAGGGCAAAATATCGTCATCCCCCCTCTTTTTCTCAATTTCGAAGAGTCAGTGTAGTCTGATGAAAGTGCGCCCTCGCTTATTTTTCCCCAGAGAAATCAACAGCTCCGATGGGGAAGTGAGTGAGCGTCTGCCTCCTCCTCTTCTTCTAAGCTTGGACGAGTGGGAAAGGAATTTTGCATACCAGTATCTGGACATTCCGAGGCCCCGGAGAGCAGTGTCCTTTTGGTTTTTTTGCACGAACCAGTACAGAAGCAGGCTGTAACGACTTCTTGCTGACTGTCTAGCCTTGTTGGACCGCGGTCCTCTGGGTCCATTGCCACCAATCGAACAATGTAGACGCAGTTGAATTTCAGCTTTGTCAGACGAAAATAATGGCTCTGTAAAGTTGCAAGTCAAAAATAAATCAGTTGAAAATGGGGCTGACTTTCACTCAGACAGCAAATAGTTTTCATCAGACACTCTGTTAAAGGTGCTACGCGTCGAGGGGTACTATTAGTACCACCATCAGGACTGACTAGATAAGTCGTATCCTTGCAGTGTAAAGACTTTTACAATTTTATTTTTTGAGACAGCGATCACTAATATTGGGTGTTTGTTTTTGATGAACTCGATAAAATATCTGAGCTTTTGAGCAAACTGTAGAATATATCGTTCATTTGAGTGATCGTTTTTTTTCTGGGGAATACAATAAGATGTTTTAAAAGGTTTGATTGAATCTGAATGCATCAGACAGTTCTTTCTTTGACACAAAAGGGCTTTCGGCTCTTGCCGCCGATGGGCTCGATCACCGTAAACATCTCCATCAGGTGAACTTTCAGCCCGTTTTGCATGAGACAAGCGCAACTCAGCGGGACTTTGAGGGTAACAATCGGTATATGATACTCAGCCAGTCTAAGCAGTATTGTCCACAGTGACATTGAAAGTGGGACTATGATCCATTCTTTTGCAGCAGCATCGAAGCTGAGTATATACTTATCCTTATGGTACGAAACTCCAATTTCACTCCAAGCAACCTTTACGCAGATTTCGACCACAATAGTTAAAATTTACAGCCAAGATGCTTTCCGAAACCTACTTGTCGTTTTTCGTGTGATGATCATTTCTACTTTGTTCAGATATTTTTTCCAGGGGTGCTAGCCCAGTGGAAATAACACCAGTGGAAGAAAAAGCGAGTTCTGCATCAGAAATTTTAAAATGAAAGTTGATCTCAATGTTCCCGAAGAAGAGCGGACGCTAATGCGGTGCTTATCTGCAGGATTTTATATTTCGATAAACATGATGCATCAAGTGCTTTAACTATTGCATGAAAAAGACTACCGTTCAGAGTTTACCCTCTGTCGATAGGTAAATTCAGAAATCGACATTCCCCCCCCCCTCCCCCGAAAATTTTGGCAATTTAATATTTTTTGAGAAGATACGGCTTCATCTGTGAGATACTTGGTGTTGATAGCTGCCTCGGAAATTCTGGATAGATGAAAGAGACTCCCAATGATTAATACTCGATGAGCCCTCGAACATTTGCAGGCTATCGGTCTTTTCTTTTTATGAAAGTCGACGATTAACAGGAAAAGCTACCTTGTTAATTTCGCGGAATTCCTCGTTCCTAAGCTACGTAGACTAAATTTCCTAAATAACACCATGTTCCACCCCCCCCCCCTGAAATTACACTGCCTGTGCGGCAACTTGTGAGTGGCGGTTTCAATGGTTGGTTCATCAGCGGGACAAAGATCTCCTGATTTAACAACATTTAACCTTTCCGATGCTGCATCAGACTTTTGTTTTTAAGCTAACTTAATGTTGGTCTTAAGAATACAAACCATCCCTTAGTTGAGTGGTCGTAGTAATAGCAGTAGAAAAGGAGAAGAGGAAGAAAATGTATTTCCACAGAGTACACAAGCGCTATTGCACAAGACTGAGTGAATTTTGAAGTTTAAGAGAACCGTCCTTATAGATTGTGTATTTGCAACACTAATTTACATCGAATAACCCAAACGCCGAACTCTTATAATGAATTGGGTATACGCCGCTCGTTCGGTACGAAACTCCGGAGTTGGTCTGTCTTCCCCAAGGTCTCAGCGGCTGAAGTTGTTTTTTTATATTGGTACATGCAAAGAGCTATTGTTTCGAGAACGATAATAAAGCCCTTGTATTCAGCTCCTGACATAGAGTACGCGCTGAGGTCATGAGACGCTACCTTGAGATGTTACAGCCCATCTACAGTTTGATTGTCACAATCCTAAGTATGCAACCAAACCCCAGCCCAGTTCATGTAACCCGACATGATTGCGCGCAGGTTAAAAAATTTCACTCTTCCCTCTACGACAATTTAACCCAAAGATAAATCATTGTAAAGGTAGCATCTATATTTTCGTAAATTTTAAGACATGCTTGTGTGGTGGCAGCTACTGGCCGTAGGGAGAATTAGGGAAAGGCGAAGCGATAAGAAACGGGAATGGGAAACCCTCGTAATGCAGATGACCTTCCACTGAATACCAAGGAAATCATGGTTAGTATCAGAGTTAGGGTTAGACTTTAGGTAGGTTTTGGATCAAGGTCAGGATTAGGGTCAGAGTTAGAACACCGGGATAGGTGCCCTTCTGCCAATTTAGCTCAAGGCTGCGTGTATTATCGGCGGTTCCTATTCCTGTGTCTTACCGGCAATTCCTGTGATCACCCTGCGAACCGTTAGCGTCTATTAAAAATTAGTGTTTTAGGATGTGGAGGAAAATGGCTTTAGAAATGCGAAGTGCGTTTTTGCACTCTCGTGAATTTTCATAACTTCCTGGCTTGCACATTTCCTGAGGACCTTTTGTGTCTACGAGCAGTCATATTGATGCTTATAAGATATCATGAGATATTGGAAACGGGTACATGTTTCGCTTGTAGAATTAAGCGATACCCATGAAACTTAATGCATTGTCGAGCCTGCATTTCGGAAAGCCTTAAAATCGAAATTCCTAGAATGTGGAATAATCTGTACCTGTGAACATTAATTCTTAACTTTATAGTTTTCTTAGAAACAGACATGGATGTGTTTTCAAGTTTCCGTACGCCCTGGCAAAAAGCACTCATATGCTTTATTCATAAAGGTGTTTTTTTGCAACTAAGATCGCCATACTTGAAGAAAAAGTCATCAATGAAGAGATCGCAAGTGACGGTGTAGGCATCGATGTAAATTTCCGCATTTTGTCCGAATTTTGATAGTGTCTTCCCTAGTTACCACAAAAGTTAGCCTGCTGTACAATATCTTTTGACATCCTTTTTATTCGCGAGGACATCACTCTGAGCTTGAAGCCTTTGTAGGCTATCTGTGTCGCAAATGGCAGTTCTTTTTTTCTGTTTGTTAGAACTACATTAAAAAATTGCACTTAGCTCGAAGTCATGCGTAATTTTTTGAATGTTCATGGCGCGCACATAGTTTGCTGACGTTCACCATATGGGACGTAAACAAATCCCTTCTAGAATGGAGTTGTAACATGCCTGTTGGATTTTAGTCAGACGAACTTGATGCAATCAAGATTTGGAGTGAAAAGCGGAATGATACTGATCCATACAGGAGAATGCAGAGTGAGATAGGCTCATTTCCACATTGTTAATACTTGTTATTTAAACTCGTTTATTTTACGAAAACAAATCGTTACCCGTCGAAAGCCGCGCAATATCCGAGTCTTGCCCGCTTGCACATTTCGTGAAATACATTTTCATTGTTTTTGGTACACTGAGACCCTCTGTTGCATAAAATTCAAAGTTCCGACAATAGCTTATCGACTTAGTAAGGACTGCGACGACACGCCACAAGGTCCCTTTCTTTTCCGCTTTCTGCGCACATTTTTTGTCCTTCCACATACAAATCCGTCAGATTATAGCTCTGCTCCGCTTAACTGACATAAATGCAACATTGGTGAAGGGGAGAGGTCTATGCGAAGTTTTTGAGCAAAGAAAATAATGTCTACCTTCGCGAGTCTGTTAAGCGCGACGAATAACTGGAACAAAGTAACCTCTTTGCTTAGACCCTGGAGATTAGCATAACATGCTTCGACTGATTGAGCCAATGCGGTCTGTGGCGTGCAGCCCCTCCTTCCCTCCTGTTCTGCCGTGGCGAACACACAGCGCTCAAACCCTCGCCTAACCTCGTCCTCTCAGATGATAGTAATAATGCACCCCCATCCCACCCCTCGTCCACTCCCTCCATGCGCCCCAGCCGTTATCATCGGCGGCCAAGACATAAGGTGGCTTGCAGCTGCCTCGCCGCGCAGCCCCTCCCTCCCCATCCGCCGCTGCCCTCATGCGGTGGGAGCGTTGTGCGACGGTTGAGCATGTCTGGAAAACCGAATGACCAGGCAGTCGAAATGGCGTGTTTGCATTCAAACTGAGGCGGGGAGTAGGTAGGGGAAAAGCGGAGGACAGGGGGAGGACGCCCAGCCGCCCCGTGTGCAAACACATGAACGCACAATAATAAATAACTCCTCACCCGCACAGTGGCCGTCAGCATCCCGCTCGCGATTGAGTCGGTGCTCTCGTGGGAGTCAATGCAGACCTGGGGAAACCACTCGATCTGATAAACTCCGTTATCCGTATCTGGAAGTGTGAACAAAGAGTCGGGTTAGTTGATCGACCAACGACGATGCCAACTGCGTAGCCTACCTAAGTGGGTCGCCTGAATGGCATAAAGGGACATGAGTGAAAAATGGCTCTAAGCTGTCTCACGCAAGTAACGATTACTCATGATGTTTTAGTACTTACGTGGGAATGATTTAAACAGCACGGTTGCAGTAAGATCGCCCTGGAATATTTCCGGAGTCCGGATCTCCAACCGGTCGTCAACCGCGTTCATGGCGGAACATTTGCAATGATCGTCAGTCGGGGTATTGGCGTTCATAGAGGCAAACGATCCTTGGCAGAACAGTGGGAGGTTTCAAGTTATGTGCATCAAATCGATAAAAAAATTGGTAAGAAAGAATGATTATCCTGAGGAGACCTTCTTTTAAAAAAGATAGCTGACGCCGAGTTTGCAAAATGCAGACTGTGATTTTGAATTTTAATTTTCAATTGTTATAGTCCTCTGGGGTAACAAGAACTCGTTCTTAACCTAGAAAATATCTTACCTAAACCTCTTTGACGATGATTTTCGTCACTCGGGGCATATGGATTAAGGGAATGCGTGGACACAAAAATTATGTTCGGTTGAGACCTCAGTTGTCCCTCTCCGTACCAGTAGGATGTTGCAGTGACCTACGAAGGCAGGAGTAAAGTAAGATTTTCTTGGAAAAATTAGAAGGTTAATCGGGAATTTTTGAGTGTTAACCCTTAACCCACCGTCAGTCTACCGGTCTAGTAGGAGTGTGGCTCACGCCCTGAGGAGCACCGGTGATTTTTAGACAGTTCGTAACTTTAAGATGGAGCTGCTTACTTTCGGTGCGATCTGCAGGATCCTCATGCCATGGCATCACCTGCATTCATCCATTCAGGTCAAATTTATTTGTATCCTGAGTGAGCACTGAATATTTACTCCTAACACCCCAGACGCACTCTTTTAGCTGGCAATGATTCTCATGGTTCCCTACCCAAAATGAGCCAGGGTCACAACGTTCTGGGGAGGCGCCGCTAACTTGCAGGTTAAATGGAATGTATAATGACGGAGAGTTTCATGTCACCTACTTCACTTTCTTTTGGTTCATCAGTTACGTTACAACGGGAGCATAAGCTCGGTGTGGCTGGAGATGGACCTGAACGCAATGGCTAACCAGAGTTTCCCCCTGCTTACGCGTACTCAACAAGTGCTGCGGTCCAACCCATACGAACCACACCACCCATTCCCATCCCACAGTTGTGGGAGTTGCCACATAGTCAAACTAAACACGGGTCATTGCAGGCTGGCTCTCAGACCATATCGTCTGTTTATCACATACAGTAGGTGGGCTAACTCATGAAATGTCAACCAGAATTCCGAAATGCGTTTTCGTTTCCAAAAGATTAACTAAGTACGGTTGTATAACTAGTCAACCTACAACATAATTTTATAATATTTCGGTTACCCCAGGATGCCGGCTTTCGAATGAACTACCTTCCAGCTGCAAGCAGAAAGCAGACTCTGTAAAAAATTACTGCTTAATTAGCATGAATTTTTCTCATTGATTTTCGATCCCCCTAAATGTCCAATTACATTTCATAGAAAACATGCATAAAAATATCCAGTCTTTTGCTCATTCGGTAGAAAACTACGTCTTTGAAGCTTATACTCGAAGGAAGAGTATAATTCGATTTTCTAAAAATTTTCCAATTCCCGAATAATTTTGAACCCGCTCCACCGTCACACTTGGACACAGGGTTTCAAAACTACAAGCCATGTATTTTCCGTCTACGGAAAACCACATATTTCTCTACGGTAATAAAGAGGGGTCATATAGGGTTCATAAAATTTCGCAGTGGATTTGATCCATATTGTTAACTTTACAATCCACATTGGTAAATGCAGAGATATGACGATTTATGAGTGGTCATTTCACGGTATTTAAAAGTCCCCCAAGTAGAAACTTTTTTAAAACCGAATTATATCCTTCCTTTGAGCATAAAATTAGAAAACGTAATTATCCACCGAATGAGCAGAAAAATGAATATTTTTATGCATGTTTTCTATGAAATGTAATTAGACATTTAGCGGGATCGAAAATCAATGAGAAAAATGCATGCTAACTAAGAAGTCATTTTTTACAGAGTCTGGTTTTTGCATTCAGCCGGAAGGAAGTCCATTCGAAAGCCGGCATCCTGGGGAAACTGAAATATTATAGAATTATGTTGCAGGCTGATTATTTTTGCCACCCTACTTAATTAATCTTTTCGAAACGGAAACTCATTTCGGAATTTCGGTTGACATTTCATGAGTTAGCCCACTTACTGTAAGTTGAAAACATGTCAATCCATGACTCATAGTACGCCAAAGTGGTTCGAAGACAGGTTTGGTTTCTTGTGGAGAGGAAACTAAGAACTGGGACGTCCTTAACCTATCCCACCGATTTCAAACGAATGGCATGTTAAAGTCAAGCCGACTGGAAATGAAATTGCGACCAGTGTCTGAAGCCCCCGTCTAAAGCGTGCCGTAGGCAAAGGAACACATCCAGTGCAGCGTCCGTCATTTTCCTCGTTGGCAAACTTAATCTTACGACTCTGCACGGGAACTGAGTAGGGTTCTGCTTACTGTTACCACATACGACTGAACAGGCACATACGACACCGTAGTATGCGGAAACAGTTTGGTCAGACATGGAAGACTCGACGAACATTTTCCCGAGGCCCTGGCAGTGATTCTCCAATCTGGTTTCGACGAACCCTAATGCGTCCGCGAAAACCTCTGCGTGACAGGATGTGCGGTCATGTTGGGGACAGACTGGAATGAGTATCAAGTATGTGCAGGCTAGGCGTATATGTAAGTTACGTGGTTGCAGATGGATGTGGCATCAGGCAGGGTCGAGGTCCTAATGACAACCATCATGCATGTGCATGTGATTGGATGGGTCCATGCAACGCGTGCATATGCAACAGGTGTAGCGGGTGTGAAGGCTTTTGAATGGAGTTGACGACATTTGTTCTCCAGAAGAGCAGTACTTGATTGGCAGACACCAAATGAGCCAGTGTTGTTGATGTTTTTGCCACACGATCGTCTATGCTCGTGGTGTCGAGCAACTGTGGTAGGTCCAGCAGTAAGCTTACGATAGACGACGCAGTAGAGGATTTGCAGCACGTGCGGAACCAGGTTTTGCGGCCTGCACATCGTAGTCTCCATCCTTCACATCCCACGGCCGTGTCGCAGACGTCCCACAGGTAGGTGAGCTGGCGTAGTCTGCTCGTTGTCGGAGTTATTTCGGTTTTTGCAGAAATTGGTGACGGCAGTAATGTCCTAGCGACATCTCTGTAGCGGTGGCCTTGAAGACTTCGACCAAATCGATCCGAGACAAGGGAGCAGGGAAAAATTTAGGGTGAGTGGTTTGGATATCCTCGGTGATGGCAGTGTTTTAGGGTGCACGGGGCGGGGTGTAGGGGTGCCCATTTGTGGATCCACGTGAAGGATGTAGTATATCGCTCGCTTGCTTGCAGAC